ATACATAACAAACTCATCATGGAGTTTAACTTTTCTGATACATTTTTACTTATACGGACATTTTTAGAGAGAAATTAAAAATTTGCTATAAAAATTTTAACATGACTGGTACAAAGTTTCAATCACTTGGCTATTTTCTTAAACAAACCTTTGATTTCGAAAAAGCAGAGGCAACTAAAAAAAAATGCAAATAATTTTGATAGAACTATTATTATTATTATAAATTTTAAACAACAATAATATTATAGAAAATACAAATGGGTGCAAAAAATTACTTATTGATCTAAATGAGGTTGTCAAACTATGGTGCAAGTGTGATTAGAGTCATCTGCTGTTTTGTGAGATTATCAATGAGAAAACCCAATGTCGAATACATGAAAAATGTTATTGTAATGAAGTAAAGTCCTGCCTTGGGGAAGTTGGGGATTTGATACGTTTTTTAAAATTTGTTATGAGTTGAGTTTATGAGAATTCAGCATTATTGCTGATTTGAAAATCATGTAAATTTTTATTAATATTGATACTGTGTACTAAATGGAAAAGGGGGGTCTTGTGTCACATCTTTTTGAAGTTCCTAAAAAATGCTTCACAACCCTAGAATATGATGTCAATATCTTCAACTACTACAAAATGGCGGAACTTGAGGTCAGTTTAGAAGATGCTCGAAATGGTTGCCTTGAACTTCTCAACAGCTTCACGCCGAACATTCTTGAACACAGTAACGTCAATATATCTACAAATATTTATTATTCTCTGCCGTATATCCAGTATTGACGCCGTACCGGTTTCGTACACCTTCTGCTTCAAATAACCCCATAAAATAGTCCAAAGGTGTCCAATCTGGCGAGCGAGCTGGCCATTCTGTAGGACCTTTACGGCCAATCCAACGACCGGAAAAAGTAGTATCCAAATAGTTTCTTACTCGTGTGGAGTAATGTGGTGGTGATCCATTTTGTTGGAATACAATATCCATATCGAAATTATTAGGATTCGCTTCGACGATTTCAGTGATGAGAGGTTCAACAGTAGATTCCAGCATATTCAAATACAATTCCTCTGTTAAACAGAGGTCCTACAATATGGTTTTCCAATGTTCCTGCTCAAACGTTGATTTTTTCTGGATATTGGGTATTTGTTTCCCGGAAAACGTTTAAAAGGCCATTATGTCTGTGAACATTGCCGTTTGAAAAAATTGTACATTCGTCACTAAAACAAATATTGTGGAGATAGGTAGGATGCCTTGCAATGGTTTCCGTCATGATTTCGCAGAATCATATTCTTGGATCAGGGTCATCTTCAGTTAATAGGTGTACCATTTTAATTTTGTATGGATGATATCTATTCCACGGAATAAGTAGACTGTTCAGGATTTACTGCTATCACACCAATTATTTGCACTTGCTGTCCTTCCGGAATGGACGGATGACCAGGGGTTTTTTTGTTATGTACATACATGGTAGTTGTGAATTTGGATACAAGGTCCCTCAAATATTTTCTACAGATAGGAAGATTCGTAAAACGTTCATTGAAAATCCTTTCGGTCTCGTGTAAGTTTCGCGTCGCACCGTAAATAAAAATCGCTTCAATTTTTTCTTCCAATGGACGAGAATTGACCATTTTAGAGATTGTTGACGTGGTACCTTTCTACTAGTAAAGTCGAAAACTAAATGAGAATATTCTAACTGAACAATGATGTTCATTGTCGTACTGACATTTTTTGTCGTATTTATAAACAAAAAATAACTTAACGAACCTTATTGGGTTTTTGGAATTGCCATATGGCAGATGAAACGGAATATTTCTAGAACTATCGATATTAATGTGTCAGTCATCAGGAGATTATTAAATGTTACGTCATTTTGTAGTGGGTGAAAATATTGACTTCCTATTCTAGGATTATGAAATTTTCGTCAGGAGCTTCAAAATGATGTGTCACAATACCCCCCTTTGGTTCACTAGTTCGGACTTCCATTGTCTATTATATAAAATGATTTGAAATCCCTGAAACAAGTAAAAAAGAAGAATTGAAAATAAATAGCTG